AAAAAGACACTCCCATATTGATGTCTTCATCTTTGACATCTCTTGTGAATTCCAGACACTCAGTCAGCCTTCACGTCATTTCTATCCAGTTGTCCAAGCATCTCATTCTAAATCCAACTCGCAATTTCTCTTCAAGAGTTTGCTGTTCCTGAATTCTACCCTAACTCAATACAAAGCATCAGTTTCATCCCTTCTGTTGCTCAGAACCCAAACCTTAGAGACAACCTTGATTCTAGTTTTTAAGTTTTTTTGGATGTACAAAACAGTAGAGTGTACTTTGACATGTTATACATACATGGAGTATCACTTATTCTAATTAGGATCCCATTCTTGTGGTTGTACATGGTGGAGATTCACTGTGTTGTATTTGTATGAACATAGGAAAGTTATGTCCAATTCAGTCTACTGTATTTCCTATTCCCATTCCCCCTCCATTCCCTTCATTCCCCTTTGTCTAATCCACTGCACTTCTTTTCTTCCCCATTCTCTCACTGTGTGTAAGCACACACATATTAGAGAGAGCTTTTGGCCTTTCATTTTTGGGGATTGACTTATTTCATTGAGCATGATGGTCTCCATCCAGACCCATCCATTTATAGGCAAAAGTCATAAAGTCTTGAGTCTTTTTATGTCTCAAGTGATATTCCATTGTGTGTATATATCTGTTGAAGGGCATCTGGGCTAGTTACATAGCTTAGCTATTGTGAATTGAGCTGCTGTAAACATTGATGTGGCTGTGTCACTGTAGTATGCTGTTTTTAAGTCCTATGGGTATAAATTGAGGAGTGGGATGGGTGGGTCAAATGGTAATTCCATTCTAAGTTTTCTGAGGAATCTCCATTCTGCTTTCCAGAATGTTTGCATCAATTTGCAGTCCCACCAGCAATGTATGAGTGTGCCTTTTCCCCCACATCCTCACCAACATTTATTGTTATTTGTATTCTTAATAATTGCCATTCTGATGGAGTGAGATGGAATCTTAAAGTAGTTTCAGTTTGCATTTCTCCAATTGCCAGAGATGTTGAACATTTTTTTTCATATACTTGTTGATCATTTGTATTTTTTCTTCTGTGAAGTACTGTTCAGTTCCTTTGCGCATTGATTGATTGGGTTTTTTTGTTTGTTTGTTTGTTTTGTTTTTTGGTGTTAAGTTTTTTTGAATATCCTGGAGATTAATGCTCTATTTGAGGTGCAGGTGGCAAATATTTCTCCCAATCTCTAGGCTCTCTCTTCACATTATTGTTTTCTTTGCAGTGAAGAAGTTTCTTGGTCGATACTATCACATTTGTTGATTTTTTGATTTTATTTTTTGCACTTTAGGAGTCTCATTGAGGAATTCAGTTCCTAAGCCAACATGGTGGAGAATTGGGCCTGCATTTTCTTTTGGTAGCCACAGGGTCTCTGGTCTAATGCGTAAGTCCTTGATTCACCTTGAGTTGAACTTTGTGCAGATGAGAGATAGGAGTTAAATTTAATCCTGCTACATATGGATTTTCAGTTTTACCAGTACTATTTGTTGAAGAAGATATTTTTTCTCCAATGTATGTTTATGGCACCTTTGTCTAGTATGAGATAGCTGTATTTATGTGGGTTTGTCTCTGTGTCCTATTCTATTTCATTGGTCTTTGTGTCTGTTTTGATGCCAATACCATGCTGTTTTCGTTACTATAGCTCTGTAGTATTTTAAGGTCTGGTATTGTGATGCCTCCTGCTTCTCTAATCTCATTAAGGACTGTTTTGGCTATTCAGGGCCTTTCATTTTTCCAAATGAATTTCAGGACTGCTTTTTCTATTTCTATGAACACATGTCATTGGGGTTTTAGTAGGAATAACATTCATTCTGTATAGCAATTTAGTAGTTTGGCCTTTTGACAATATTAATTTTGTCTATCCAAGAACATGGGAGATCTTTCCATCTTCTAAGGTCTTCTTCAGTTTCTTTCTTTAGTGTTCTATAGTCTTTATTGTAGAGGTTTCACGTCTTTTGTTAGATTGGTTCCCAAGTATTTTATCTTTTTGAAGCTATTGTGAATAGTATAGTTTGCCTAATTTCTCTTTCAGCTGATTCATCATTGATGTATAGGAACACAATTGATTTATGGGTGCTAATTTTATATTCTGCTATTTTGCTGAATTCATTTCTAGACACTTTCTGGTGGAGTATTTTGGGGGGTATTCTAAATATAGGATCCTGTTGTCAGCAAATAGGGATAGTTTGAGCTCTTCTTTTCCTAGTGATATCCCTTTAATTTCTTTCATCTGCCCAGTTGCTTTGGCTAGAGTTTCAAGGACTCTGTTGAATAGAAATGGTGAAAGAGGGCATCCCTGTCTTGTTCCAGTTTTTAGAAGGAATGCTTCTAATTTTTCTCTGTTAGAGTGATGTTAGTCTTGGACAACCTTGATTCTTTTCTCTCCCATATCTTACCTCCATCAAAAGCCACCTGTCACCTGTACTTTTAAATAATATCCTGAATCCAGACACATCTCAGCAATGCTGTTGTGGTGGTGCCCTCCTCTGGGCTATCATCATCTCTCACTCGAGTTACTTTATTCTTCAGTATTCTTCACTTTCTCTAAGATATGGCTAGGTAGGTGTCAATTTATTTTATTTATCATTTTTGAGAACTTTAGGATTCCTGGATCTGCAAATTTGTATTTCTGAATAATTTTGGAAAATTAATTATCTCTTTTACCTATG